GAAAAGGTGTTGACTTCCAACTCCCTTTGGTACAGTAAAATAGGATGATAGCCATTTCTGTAACAACAAGCCTATCTAATCAATGAAACCCAAAATCAAAACTTTCATTTTTTTCCACCTCAAGCATAATGTCCAGAAATGGTTTCCAAGTAGAAACAAAAGCAATTGTATTTTTTGTTTTGTCTTTGTCTTTGTCTTTGTCTTTTTCTTTAATCAATGCACTCAATACACATATATACATACACATATTAATCAGATTGTCTTCTGGCAGTGAGTCTATAACAACTTGGCATAGCCAGTTTAGTGTGGCCAGTTCACCAGTGCCAGCTTGTTACCACCAAGTTGCCTATGCCAACTCACCGCTAAGTCACTAAGGAAAACTCCACAGGGACAACTTGCTGTGGGACAACTCGCTGCAAGCTTCTGGAGGGAGACCCAGCCAAGTGCATGACTGAGTGGGAAAAGTGCAGAATGGTGGTGGCAACTGAGGGAGCTTCCCATTTTTCACATCCCCTGCCACTGCCACTGCCACCAAACTGTGGGCTGAAGAGGCCAGGGATGTTGGCTGTAGTGGTGGGCAGGGCGGATGGCAGTGCAGCAATAGCAGCAAGGTGATGTCTCATTTTCACACTCCCTGCCACTGCCCCCTCCCCACCCACCCAGCCCAGTACTGTCACTACTCCTGGTCCTTTTGCCCTTGAGCTTGGCAGCGGTGGTGTGAAAGGGGTGTGAAAATGGGAAGCTCCTGACCACTGATACCATTCTGTGCTCTGCCCACCCATTCTTCCACCTGCCCACTCAGTTCTCCTTTTGACTGCCCACAGCGAGTTGTCTCTGCAGTGAGTTAGCCCTGTGGAGTTGTCCTGTGGCAACTTGGTGGCAATGAATTGACAGAGGTGAATTGGTGGTGGCGAGCTGGCTGTGCCACACTGGCCATGTCCCATTCCATCTGACAGCCACATGGTTTCAAAATATTCATTGTGCCCATAGATGCAGAGAAGTTTGGAATTCCTGATTGTCCTTAAATCATACTTATTTTAGTAAGACCTATGGTATTTAAAAGCTTTAGGTCAATGAAATTACTAAACCACTAGGATTTAAGTAATCAGTTTCATATTTGAATTCTTTTTTCACATACAGGAATCTGTAAGTGGCAAAACACACATTTGTAATGGAAACTCTGTTCCTTACTTACATTTATATGACACTGTCATGCAAGTGTAGGAGAATAGAATAGAAAGAATAGAATAATATGACATCACAATTTGCATTTTCTCTTCTGTTCATTTTCATGATTGGGAATGGACACTTGTCGTCGTCTCCTCCTCCTCCTCCTCCTCTGCCTCCTCCTCCTCCCATTATACCATTCTATATATTTCTGCTTAAGCCTATCTTGCCATTTTGGAGATATACTACATAATCTTTCACAAACATCTACAGTTCAAGAAAGTCGGTATATATCATGAACAAAACCTTTTTGGTTAACGGCATTTACATATACTTGGTTCAATCATTAATTTTCCTGTGTTGAAGCATCTTTGCAAAACATAGTAATTGTCAAGCCCCACAAAGATCCCCACAAGATCAAGAAACAAGAATGGCAGAGACTTGACTAAGGTATGTTTAATGCTAGTCTTGGGGGAAGACACAAATTACTGGAAATTACAAGAAGAATTTCAATTTCTCATTTATATTGAGTTTGTCAAGTCAGAAGCTTTTTGAATGATTTGAAATGCTTCGTCCTCAGTTTCACATGGGCCGATTGACTTTTATAAGATGAACTACCACCTACTATCGCTTGATCATCTGTGCCCATTTACTTTCCAGCCTCACTATCTCAGTCAGGATTGCATTATTTTTCTAAATAGGGAGATTTCTTTGTGGGAAAGTGAAAGGCTGGTGGCAAGGGAAAAACTTGTGCTTCAGCTGCAGTAGTTGTGATAGGTATTTAATGAGGAGAGAAAATTCACAATAGATAGGATGAGATGGGATGAAAGGCAGATACACCAAGTAATAAGTTAATTTGCATGCCAGTTAAAAGATGATTTCTTTTTTATTGTTATGTCCCTTTAAAATTAGGAGATCTTTTGAATCTTCAAATGTCTTCCAATTTTGTATGTAGGTTGGTAATTAACTATGATGAAGTCTGTTCATGTGAAATTAAGGAATTTTCATCATGTCTTCTGCTTGCTTGTTCGTGTTCATGGATGCCTTTTGTTAGTCTTCTGCCTGTTTGGCTGTTGTAGCGCTTAAATTGTATGTTGTATATGGTTCCTGTTTTTTTCTTCTGGGACTGCTGGGTCTTTTGTTTTACTAGGATGTTTTGGAGAACTTAGTTGGTTTGTGTGCTATAGTGATGCCACATAGTTATAATAGTCCGTTGATGGTTTCTGAGATGTTTCAATATATGGCAGTATTATCCTTTCAACTGTTTGTTCTGGTTGTCCTATATTGGGTTGAGTGCTCAGTCACTTTTTGATGAAGCTGCCTGGAGAGTGTGGGTGAAGTTGTGCAGAAACCACCAACAGATCACAGGTAGTCATCAACTTACAACTTCAACTGAGCCCAAAATTTCTGTTGCTAAGTGAGACACATGTTAAGTGAATTTTGTTCCACTTTTTGGCCACAATTGTTAATTGAATCACTACAGTTGGTAAGTTAGTAACATGTTTGTTAAGTGCCTCTCATTTTCCCATTGACTTTGCTTGACAGAAGGTCACAAAAGGTGATCACATGACCCGGGGACATTGCAACCATTTTAAGTATGAGTCAGTTGTCAAGCATCTGAATTTTGATCACATAACCATGAAGATGATACAGTGGTTGTAAGTGTGAAAAAATAATCACAAGTCATTGCTTTCAATCATGTTGTAATTTTGAACGGTCTCTAAATGAACTGTGGTAGGTTGATGACTACCCATATTACAATTAAATGACATCAACACTGACAGACAACTCAATCAAGGAACTACCAAGACACTCCCACCAACATTGATAGGGCAAGTTACTAATATATTAGAGCCATGGTTAGGATGCAGTAGTGCAGACTGTTCGCTGTCAAGAGTTCGATTCTTACTGGCTCAAGGTTTGACTCAGCCTTCCATCCTTCCAAGGTGGGTAAAATGAGGAACCAGACTGTTGGAGACAATATGCTGACTCTGTAAACCGCTTAGAGAGGGCTGTAAAGCACTATGAAGCAGTATATAAGTCTAAGTGCTATTGCTATTGCTATATAAAATGAGAGCAAATCCCACTTCCCATTAGCACTGATGATGTTATGTAGTTTGGTAATAAAACATTTGCAAGAAAATAACCAATCTCAAAGAGCATCAAGATCCCCACAGTTTAACCCTGAACAAATATTATCTTCTATCTGTTATGATATTACAAATCTACAATGTGCATTCCTTAATAGAATACTAATTTTCAAAATGTTTGTTGAATGCCCTAATTAGTCAAATTATTAAAAGGAGGTGCTGTGGCTCAGTGGCTTAATGATACTGGAGATGGTCTCTGTCTGGTAGTTTGAGTCCCAGCACTGCACTCCTTAGCTTTGGACAACCTAGCAGTTTGAAAGCATGTTATTTGCAAGTAGATAAATAGGTACCACTTTGGTGGGAAAACAAGCCGGTGCTTCAAGTGAATGGTCAGAGCCCTGCTGGCGATAGATCTTCCTGGATGCAACACCTGTTTGTGAGGTAGCTTCAGTGGAGGAAGAAGGGCCTGGCTGCTGCTGCTGGATACTGTGCATCTTTCTTTCTGATATAAATCTAGCTCACCCTCCGTGATGCACTATGGGTAGCGCACAAGCATGAACAAAACGGGTTAGTAGTCTCAGGCAGCCAAACCTATATTCCGTTTTAGTATTGTAGTCTGCTATTGTAAGATATTGTAACATTGCCAAATGCTAAATAAAATAGATTACTTAAAGAGAACAATCAGAATTAATTTAAGTAATTTAATGAAAATGCAGAGGATATTCTCCTGACTTCTAATAGCAGTTAAAAGTTAGTATGGAAGAGAAAGTCATACTTAATTCTAAACTGAAGAATACAAGGCAAACATATAAAGCCACTATGCTAGTAAGATTGTGAAGGAACTATAAAAAAAACATTTCTGCAATTATTTCAAAATTATATTAGCAGATATGCTATTCTGATACTAATCTATGGGTCTAATAGTGTAGCAATTACAAATAATATTATAACAATTAGTTTTCCATAAAGCCAGTAGAAAAAGATTTTTTTATTACCTGGTTTATTCCTTTTGAATAAAGAGGAAAAAGAGATTACATAGTACTTAAATCTTTTAAGGATATTTTCTGTATATTATTTATTGAAGTTTCAAGTTTGATATATGTGTTCCATTGAAATATCTGCTAGAGTTGATCGCCTGCTTTCTGCTTCCAGGACTTTTGGAATTTGATTTTCTAAATTTAATTGTTTTGGGAAATTTATATTTACATACCTTATCTTATAGAAGATATTTTCAGTTGGACTGGACTGATTACTTTCATATATGCTTTATCAACCCATTGAACTTTATTATGCAGTTGAACATTATGGAGCTTTGTAACATTTTTATTACTCTTACATAAATTACCATCAGCATCATAATAAAAAAAAAATTGTAATGCAGCAATATATAAATTAGTATTTTTGTTCTTCACATAAGTAGGCCAACTATCTGAACTTTGCATTTACAGGTACCTGAGAATTCCTTGTTAACAGAACATGGAACAATCATTCTTCATGTTGACTGGGATTCAATGAATAACTTTTTTTGGTGTGCTAAAGGGGTCGTATACAAAAATTGAAATAAGAATGAAAACTGTAATTTTTGAACAAGAGATCCACTTCCACCATACTATTTGTACTTATGCTTCAATGTAGCAAAATGGATTGCTGTTTGACAATCCAAACCCAAACCTGCTTGTGGTTTTTCATACCATGTCTTGGTCTAGCTTCGCCAAACTTCTGTTTCTGTTTCTATAAATAGAATTAATGGGGTACTTGGGCATTGACAAGTGCATAATAAAATCCCTCCAGTGCTAGCAGCTGGCTGTGAGTTCCTTCTTCAACTACTCTGCCATTTTGGATGACTGCTATTATATCAGAATTCTGGATTGTTGACAGTCGATGAGCAATAACAATGCAGGTTCGGCCTTTTCGAGCTTCATCTAATGCTTTCTGGACAATCTGTACTCAAAGACAAAAGAGAAATAACCTTATAAAAGCACCAGAGATACACTTTCCCCCCAGTTTAGATCATTTCTCAAACAATGGCAAATTGCTTACCGATGAAGTAGGAAGTCAGCTATGGCTTCACTCACCTTTTCGCTCTCTGTATCCAGAGCTGATGTGGCCTCATCTAGAAGTAAAACTGCAGGTTTTCGGACAAGGGCACGAGCAATAGCTATTCTTTGCTTTTGTCCTCCAGAAAGCTGTGCTCCTTTATCACCCACTCGGGTATTGTATTTCTGATTTTGAGAAAAAGAAGAATATTGGTATTGTGAGAGAGTCAAAGATAGAGTCCTAACAGTCTTAAGAGTCCTAAGATAAATAGCATAATTCTCATATCAAGTAAGTTTGTAAATTAGGAAGAAAGAAAAATGAATGTAAATACCATTAATAGATGTATTATAACAAATCAGTTTCCTAATCTTTAAAATACAATTTTGCCATTTTGCACAGGAACAGAAACTTCTTCAATTTGGTGCTACTCTAATGCAGAACCCTCACATCCCAGACATAAACTGTTTCAATTCCTTCCCTCAAAACGACATTATAGAGCACTGCACACCAGAACAACTAGACAGCTTTTTCCCGAACACCATCACTCTGCTAAACAAATAATTCCCTCAACACTGTCCAACTATTTACAAAGTCTGCACTACTATTACCATTAATCTTCTCATCACTCCTTATCACCTATCCGCTGCCACTTGTGACTGTATGACTAATTTTATCACTTGTATCCTTACGATTTATATTGACTGTTTCCTAGTATGATTTGATTACTTATCGCACCCTATGACTATTATTAAGTGTTGTACCTTATGATTCTTGACTCTCAATAAATTTATCTTTTCTTTTATGTACACTGAAAGCATTTTATGTACACTGAAAGCATTTGCACCAAGACAAATTCCTTGTTAGTCCAATCACACTTGGCTAATAAAGAATTCTGTTCTGCTTTGTTCTGTTCTGTTCTGTTCTATCCTAGAAAATTGATATGGTTATGGTACACAAAAATGTCATATTGTTGTGAACACAGTCCAAAAAATCCAGCCATTCAAAAACTCAGCTAACATTGATTTTAAGGTTGTGCTTGCCAAACAGAGAACAAGAGGATTCAAAGGAGGATATATCCTCCTCTTGATAGTTGTTTGATAACCCTATTTTTGGGATAAGTTCCCCCACCTATTCTGAGCTTCAGTTTATAGATTTCAAATGAGGTTATGATACTTGCATTACCTGTAAAATTATCTGTTGAATTTCAAAAAACACTCTTGCTTTTTATTTATTTACTTGTTTGTTTTGCTGATCATTAGTTTTACTCCATAACAGATACATGTACCAGCTGCAATAATTAATTTCATGCAGAAAAACAATGCTAGATACCTCTGGAAGATTTTCTATAAAATTGTGAATATTGGCTGCTTTGGCTGCTTCTTCAATTTCCTCCTGGCTAACAACTCTGCTATTATCTCCATACTGGATATTCTCTGCAATACTGCAGTCAAACAGAATAGGTTCTTGTTGTACAAGGCCCAGTCTGGATCTTAGCCACTGTATATGTAGAGATTTAGTGTCTACACCATCTGCAATCTGGAAATAGAAAGGAAAACATGACACTCTTAATTGAAAAGTTAAAAATATACTCCTTACTGTTCTCTTCTGGAATAAGCAACATGATGCAAAACAAATGAAAAAAAAGGTAAGAGTAAGCAAAATAAAGTGTTGTAAGAAAAATATATATAACTAAATTTAGTTTTCGCCAATATAATTCATGGTATTTTCTTATTTTTATACTTTTCTATCCCTGGAAATTATCTTTGTTTCTACTATATATTACTTTTTTTTTTTTTTTAGAGGAGGAGCTTTCAATCAGTGTTGAATCCTGGCAACTGCCTGGACTACTTCTTGCAGTCTTCTTGCAAGATTTTAGAAATCGGTTGCTAGGGCTGAGAGTGACTTGCCCAAGATCACCCAGCTGACTTTGTATCTAAGGCAGGACTAAAACTCTTAGCTTCCTAGTTTCTAGCCCAGGTCATTAACTACTATATCACACTGACTCTCCTGCTTACTCACCCTGCCTAATATATTACTTTTCATTGTGTACACTTCATTTCCTTTTTGAGATTCCATCAAGTCTGTCCAACCATAACTTTCTTATTTTCTCTTTCTTCTCTATCCATTCATGCTTTCTTTCATATAGTTTTGGGAATTCTATTCTCTTTCATTCTCTCTATATGACCAAATAACTACAGCATATTTCTTTTGTGATGCTTTTGTATTTTATTCACATTAATTCAGAACTCATAGATCCTTAACCCACTTATTTTTATTTAACCTCTCAATTTCCTAAAATATCATACTGCTATTGCATTCAAATCTTTTGTTTCTTCTCAATTAAACATTTTTTTGTCCAGAAAAACATTTTCTGTATTTTAGTAAACATTCTAAAAATTCATTTAATTGCTATAGTTTTTCATCATTTATGTATAATTTGCAATCATTCATTCCATACTAAATATTATTATCTTAGCCGTCAATATACACTGCTCAAAAAAATAAAGGGAATACAAAAATAAGACATCCTAGATCTGAATGAATGAAATATTCTTATTAAATACTTTGTTCATTACACAGTTGAATGTGCTGACAACAAAATCACACAAAAATTGTGTGGGTTGTAGACTCTGTCTACAGTCTGCATGCTACTCATGCTACACTAGAGTGAAAGCACCGCCAGCATTCAAAAGTGACCAAACCATCAGCCAGAAAGCATAGGAACTGAGAAGTGGTCTCTGGTCACCACCTGCAGAACCACTCCTTTATTGGGATGTCTTGCTAACTGCCTATGCTTTCCACCTCTTGTCTATTCCATTTGCACAACAGCATGTGAAATTGATTGCCAATCAGTTACTACCTAAGTGGACAGTTTGATTTCACAGAAGTGTGATTGACTTGGAGTTACACTGTGTTGTTTAAGTGTTCCCTTTATTTTTTTGAGCAGTGTATTACTTTTCATATCTATATTCCCTTGTGTATGATATAATTTCAAGATAGAACGACCTGCCATGGATTATAGAACAAACCAAAGTATACAATATCATCAAGGGAGTAAAAAAATTGAAATGGAAATGGGTTGGTCGCATAGTAAAATTCAATGTTGCCTTCTGCTAATTGATGGCAGATGGACCAAGGCAGTCATAGAATGGATCCTACTTAATTAAAAAGCATTCACAAAAGACACCTAAAACAAGATGGATCAATGACACCAGTAAGTATTGTGGGCCCATTTGACAAAAGAAAGTTCAGGACCATATTGGTTGGAAACATGCAGAAGATGCCTTCATCCTGCAGTGGATCGACAGGCTAAAATGATGGTGATGATGACGATGATACAATCTTTGTAAATTTGCTGCACATTATTTAGATTCTCAGGCAAATGCTTACTAATGACCAGCTGAATAATGAAATCCCAGTCTAGGGACATCATCTACTTGCAACCAACCTGTACACCCCAAATTTTATTCATCATTATCTCTTGTACTTGTCAAACACCTTCCAAGGCACATTTAACAAACTAATCCTCCTACAGTTTTTAAATTCACCATTGTTTTATTTTGCCATTTTATAAAGACACAATAACCATATTCTTCAGTTGTTGAGCACAGGAAGAGCTCTGGTAAGAAAGCCACAGATCCACTCTGTAAGCAAACCTCAAATTTTAACATTTTTCTAATTACACTGTCTAACTTGCATTTTCTACATTCTTATAGGATTTACTGTATGAATTCCTGCCCTTCATTTTCTCTGGAATACTAAAATTTGTAGTACTTTTTTCAATACCATTATTTCAGATATCACTGTTATTCCTATACGGATCTCTGACACAATTGTGCCCACACTTTAGCTTCATCACAAATCACATTAAAATGCTAGTTAAGATGTCCAAAATTTTCACATTCTTTTATCAAACTCTCTGTCTGGTCTGGATTATTATAAAGCCTCATAATCAATAATACCACAGAGAAGAACTAGTATACGCCTTCATGTACCACAGAAATGTTTTCAGTAGAATCAAGGTCGACTTACCACTTGTCCTGAAATTGGGTCATAGAATCGCTCTAGAAGTTGAATAGAAGTGCTCTTGCCACAACCACTGCTACCCACAAGAGCCAGTGTCTGGCCCTTGTTAATCTTTATATTGAGTCCTTGCAAAACCTGAACTTCTGGTCTGGTTGGATATGCAAAATGGATATCTTTAAATTCAATGTTGCCTTCAAATTTCTCCTGCAGTAGAAAGAGGTGAGGAGATGATGATGGTATGTTTTGCACAATGTTCTAGGTTTTTCCTTCTATACTTCTCCTGTGGTACTAATCGTAGTAACAGAATTAGTAGTGGAATGGCTGCAACAACAACAATAATGTACCTCCTTCCTGTACATATTTATTCAAATAAAATTTTGATATGGACTGGAATTATTTTTCAAACTTTTATCCTCCTAACTAGTTTAATTTATGAACTAAAATAGTATATAAAATTTCTGCTATTTGACTTTTTACATAAGCAGTTTAACGTTATTTTGAAATTAACTGAAAGAAAAGTGAAACATAGAATTTTCTCCATTTATTCTACTTAAGGCAATATATATTTTCTTGGTCATTTCCATACATGATGAATGGCTATTTCTCCTGTTACTCCTTTTATTGTTTACAACATACAATGCAGCAAATATTTTAAATTCATTAAAATGTAAGGGGACAATTCAATGAAAGGGAAGTTTAATTTAAGAATGACTTTAAATTTCCCACTGAAACAAAGAGACTGGAGCAAAATTCTTATAGAAGTAGCTTTTTTCAGAAATAAGTCCCAGGATTTTAAAATGATATCTATTGCATAGTATTGAATATAATATTGGTTTATTCATTTACTAGATAATTATACACATGCCTAATAATTTTTTAGATCAAATTTGCAGAAACCAAAGTTTCTAAGTTACCAACTCAATATATTAAAGACATAATAAGCATTAGTTGTAAGATCTTACTAATTTTTCTCCTTCTTCACTATAGCTGTCAATTGCAGGCTTTCGATCCAAAAGGTGAAATATTCTTTGAGCAGAAACCTTTGACTTGCTAAAATCAGGTGCAAGAGAATTAGCTTGGCCAGCATTCATTGCAGCAAAAATCACTGATGAGAAGACTCTGGAAATATAAAACAAAAATACTAAAGGGGTGTATCAGAAAATAATACAAAGGTAAACTTTTAAGTAACAAACTTTGTTGAAATCAACTGTAAATGGCATGATTTTGCAACTTGAATTTTATAATGTCAGCCTCTTTAAACAGAACAATTTACTGAATTTTATATCTTGGATATACAGCATACCAGAGGTGGTATTCAGCAGGCTCTGACCAGTTCTGGAGAACCGATAGCAGAAATTTTGAGTAGTTCAGAGAACTGGCAAAAACCACCTCTGACTGAAAATTTTACAGTATCCTTCCACTGCCACGCCCACCAAGCCATGCCCACAGAGTAAAAAAAAAATTGAATCCCACCACTGGAGCATACTATATATTAAATAAGATCAAATAAAACATATTGCCAAAAGCCTATATGGCTATAAAATGCAATGAAACTTTGGATAAAATTTGAAAAATTGAAGCAAAGGGGATTTCATATGATTCAAGATTATTTAAGTCAAGATCTGGTATTTGTAGCAGTAATTTTCTATGTATTTTGTTGGAAAAATCTCAGTGAATTTAGTATGTTTTAAACTTTATAAAGATACATATAAATGTGCCTTATGACTAGGGGTGGGTTTCAACTGGTGTTACTATTGGTTCGGTGACTAGGTTTGCACGCATGTGTAAAAATCCTTAAGCTGTGCTGCCTGGACAGCTGAAAAGAGCTACGCGCAAGTGTGCAGCATTTAAAAAGCCACTTTTTTCCTGCTTTTTCAACCTCAGCTGTGCTGTGCAAAGCAGCTGAAGTTGAAAAAGCAGAAAATAAAGGACAGGTAAGGGCCCGGGTGGGTGAGTGCGCCAAACAGCAGCAAATACAGAACCGGTTTGGTGTCTGCTGCTCTTCAGAGCTACCAGTTCTGTAGAGCCAGGCAGAACTGGTAGCATCCCAACCCTGCTTATGACAATGTTCATCAGTAAGGCAAATATTATCCCATCAGTCAAAAACTAAGATGTTATGTTGCAAAGGAGAGAGTTTGGAATTCAAAATTATCTCTTGTCACGATCAAAGTTAGGAAAACTTAGGAAAAAGTCTCTTTCCCTTCTCAGTGATCGTTGACCTTACACTTAAATACTGTATCCCAAAAGTTTAGCTTTTCACAGGTCTTGATAGCTATAAGTAAGAGTTATTGAGTTAATGGCAGATACTGAATTATGCCTCAATTCTTACTATAACTTAAACAGAAAATGAAAAGAACAATCCTTTCCCATTGTTGCTCTTCAGCAAAAGGTTTCTAGAATCTGGAGATTCCTACTAACTATCAGAAGCTGTCATTTTTAAATTATATGTGGCCGGCAACATTATTGAGGGACTATTTCTCCTAAGTCATGACTGATCCCATCAGATCTGACAGAAGTAGTTTGTTGTAAATTCTATCCACTAGATAGTGTCATCTGACAGGACTTAGGAGAAGTACCTTTTCTGCTTCTCCCTGTGCCATATAAAACATTATTCCCCAAAAGGCCAAGCTCACCCTAATCTTCTAGAAGAGAAGATTTCTGCCTTCTAGAAGAGCATGAAGACTGGCATTGCTACCTGATCTGGGAGCTGGAGAGTAGTGAGGAGCCCATAAAGTGGCTATAATGTTCATGTGATTTCCCAGTGACTGGTGTTAATTGTTTTAACATTTCTTATTACTTTGTATAGCTATTTTATTCTGTGTTTGTGTTTGTTTATGTTTTAATTGTAAGCTGCCTAGGCCATGTGAGACTTATATAGAAGTATATATTCCTAATTCTTTGTATATGACACCAAGAACTTTTCAACTGGTGTCATGATTCTATATTCTAACATAATGACACAAATGTCAATAAACTTACAAACGAATAACACAACCACAGAAACTGAAATCCTCCAACTTTTGGGAAGGGGTAAATCTCATGATATTTATCCCAAAGGTGCTTTTTCAAAAAGCAACTGGACTTTCTGGTTTTCTTTGAAGACATTTCATTTCTCATCCAAGAAGCTTCTTCAGCTCTGATTGGTTTGTGGAAATGAAAGGAATAATACTCCTTGCAGATAACTTGTCAAGGAGTATAAATCCTTCCATTCCTCACTACCCAGTCAGAGCTGAAGAAGCTTCAAGAAGCTTCTTGAGCTTCTTGAGAAGCAAAACATCTTCAAAGAAACACCAAAAAGTCTAGCTGCCTCTTGAAAAAGCACCTTTGGGACAACTATGACATGGAAGACTGAGAATCTCCATAGACAGTAATGAGATTTAGCAATCTCATATCAGAGATCTTGATGTCTCTTATGTTGAAGAAATTCCAGGTTTCTGTATGGAATCTTGAAAAATCATCTGGGAGAATACCCAAAACTATTGATATTTCAAATTCTTTTTTTACATTTTAAAAGTTTTTGTGTTAATTGTTTTTAACTTGTGACAAAAACATCAAAAGGCAGCCTAGATAATGGCATATTTAGGTGCTGACTGTGTAAGCCTTTCCTTAAACAGTTTATTGACAAGCCTAAGACATTAATTATACAAATTTTTCCTTCACTTCAACATGATTGTTCTTGCTTTAAAAATATACATATATCCATATATGAAAATTGGTAACCTCAGTTCATATTTTCATTACCCTCCTTAAAAGCTAGTATACTCACATAAACAGTTGTTCAAAGTTCATAAAACAATGGGCAATAAGCCATGCTCCAAATCTAAAGACAGCAGCATTTATAAAAAAGTTGAAACTCTGCCCTATGGCATAGGATAATCCATTAATAGGAGCTTTCTTTAATGAGTCCCTAATAAAAGAAAATATTTGATATTATTCACAATCAATCATAAAATTCAAAACTGACCACGATTTATAACTATATCAGTGTTGATTAACCTTATCAAGAGCTGTGGACTTCAACTCCCATATTATACGAGGTTGAAATACAACCTCTTAAAGTTGTTGAGGTTGAGAAACACTGAGCTATGTTAATAATACTTTTCCAAGTAGATCATCTTATCTGTCCAAATATTTTGGATAGAAACATTAAATGTGGATATTAAAAGTGTTTGCATTACACACCGCAATATGAGTCCAAATTGCTGGAAATGCAAAAAAAAAGAGGGAACTTTTTTCCATATGTGGTGGTCCTGTACAGAAGCTCAAAAATATTGGCAGAAAATTAGAAATTGGCTGGAAGAAATGACAAGAGAACAGATCGAATTCAAATCAGAGTCCTTTCTGTTAGGGATCTTTGATAAAGAAATATTTTAAAAAGTGAAATATATAATAATACACATTTTGACAGTGGCCAGATTGGCTTTTGCACAATGTTGGAAGCAGCCTCATGTTCCATCAGAGGAGATGATCATTCAAAAAATTTCAAGTTGTGCAGAAATGGACAAATTAACTTTGGCATTAAAAAATAAAGACACTTCAATATGCTACAACAGCGGGAACTGCTGGTACAAATGGATAGACCAAAGATAGACTTTACACTAAAAGGCAAAAGAGGATAGGATAAATCCATAGCAGTGATACACAGATATATGTAAGGATAAGGTGTGTGTATTTGGCATAAAATAAGGATAAAAAAGAGGTCCTACAAACTGCTGAAGATGAGAATGTTTTTAATTGTTTTCTATTTTTTTTTCTATTTTCTTCTCCCTTTCTTCTTTTATTCTCTTTCATTTATGTATGTGTTGTTGGTTTGTTTTAATTGTAAAATCAATAAAATTTATTTAAAAAATAAAAGTGTTTGCATTACAATTTCATGTGTGTCTTTGTGTGTGAGAGATTACTGTTATGTATACATGTGTCTATGTGTGTGTGTGTGTGTATTTATATGTAGATGTGTGTATGTGTGTGTATGTTTAGATTCTTTTTTACTGATGCTTTTTAAAAAACTTTGTTTAAAAACATTTTAAAGTAGTGACTATAATGAGGAATATACATATAAAATATATAGTGCACATAAACTCACATACAAAACATATTAAAAAATAAAATGCTTACTTGTATGGTTTATATAAACTTGCTTTGTAGTTCTCAAAAAATCTGTCTTCTCTTGTTAATGCCACAACAGTTCTTATATTTTCTACAACTTCTGTTGAAATCTAGATTTGGGGGAAAAGGGAAAATATAAGGCATTCATTCAGTGATACAAGGATTTTTGTGATGTATAGCATTATCTACTTAAAGTACAAAACCCGCGGAATAGCATACTATAAAACATGTGCTTATAATGCATGGCTCATAATTTATCATGTGTAAATCCAGACCATTGTGATTTATTAAAGTATTGTTAAATAAACTAGATTTAGACAATTATATTTATTGTTAGCTTATTTCCAAAGGCAATGCAGACCAGCAAGTTAAATCTCTGACATTCCCTTTTGAAGTAATATTCTGCTAAAGAATTAACTTTCTGAAATCCCTTCACTTCTTGCCCTATGTTCTTCATGGTGAAGGGAGATGGGGATAAGAAATCAGGATGTTTTTCTCCTTCTCCAAAAAGCAAAACAGAAAATATGGGATAAAGTGCTTCTTTGTTTTCCTATTCTGCTGAGCAAAGAATGCTAAGCATTGGTGAATGGTTGACTCCTTCTGTGGGAAGACATTTTTCAGTTTTGTGTAATGAATATTGCAATGGAGGTCAAGGGAACCTGTGCTTGTCAAATCATTTTAAAGAACAATTCTTGGTAACTCTAGTCAGCATACAAAAAAAAATGATAGGAATTTCAATTAAGCAACAACCAAAGACCCAGGCTTACTTAATTTGAGTTTTCAAATTGTGCTTCTCCCCAGATTATTTGTTTCATTATACAGAAGTTTTTGAGTTTGTGTTAAGTGATTTCACATTACACTGTCTGAAGTACATTCTGAGAAAGGGTGGCATGTAAATAAATAGACCATGTTTTTCTAGAGAAGCACTACTGGAAAAAATGAAGACTAAGAACCATACTAAAGTAGACTGAGATCTTGCTGAAATAGTGAATGGATGTAACTCTATTGAAAGTTCAAATCATAGAACATTTACTGCCTACTTGTCACCACTATAACATTAATCTTATCCATGTGTGTATATATGCAGAAGATACCCTTCTTGTCACCACTATAGCATTAATCTTATCCATGTGTGTATATATGCAGAAGATACCCTTCCAGCTTCTTCAAGAGCTTTTTGATCCTGAGCTGCATGACCTTCCATCGATTTCGCTTGAAAAGCCTTTGCAACAATGACGAAGGGAATGCAAGCTAAGATGAGCAGCGTTAAATGCCAACCATGTGCAAAAGCAATGATAAGAGCTGTCACAAGTGTGAAGAAAGTCATGGTCATTAAAGCCAACCGACTTCCAGTAGCCTTGAAAATAAACAAGAAAAACAAATTATATCTTTTCCACAATAAACATTCTTTTCATAACATTCACAATAAGGCTGTCTTCTGGGAGAAGGCTTCTTGGTATCTTAACTAGAACTATTAGATTATGTAATAGCTTTGTACTATATAGTATCAATCTGATTTTATATGTGTGTATGTAAATATTCAGATGGCTTAACACATCTGAAGGCTCACAGGTTCTCTTTCTCTGTGGAAACACAATGTATATATGTTTTGCTAAGGTATAAAGGCATATGCATGGAAAGTTCACGTCAGGTGGCATGATTAATTTTTATTTCCTGCTTTTCCAAGTCATGTTGCTAACTTTCTTGAAAACACTTTTTACATAGTTTTTCTTTATTAGTTGAAACTGCCCATTGTACCATGAAATGGATGCAGAATCATTTCTTTATGTAAATATGATATCATCTGGCAATACTGCAAAGCCAGTAAATTGGTTGGCAGTTAGCTTCAGTGCCAAACTGATTCATAGAATCTTGGGGTCTTGTAGAATGTGTCATTCCAGAGCAGACTATTTTAGAAAGTGCAATTAGAATACTTGTCTGAAGACACAAAACAAACATAGACCCCAATGTATTCAGAATGTGAAAATGATTCAAATAATGGATTTATTCTGCTGTTTCCTGCAGAAGTCTCTTATTGATACTAAGATAATTATAATTCCAACAAAATATATAAAAACAATAAGCAAAAACCATACTCCTTTAACTTGGGAAGCATCTGTTGAAAGTCTGGTTAACAGAACTCCAATACCATTATTGTGGTCATCAAACCATCCAATTTCCTAAAACCAAAATGAACAAATTAAAATAATAATTGAAATTAACAATTAGTCTTGTTAGAACTTGGAACCTTTCTTCTTGTATCGAATTATGGTAGAAACATGTCTTGGCAACATAACTTTTTTTCTCTGCCATTACTCCCTGAAATTGTCTTCATTTCATTCCCAGTTCATTAGTGAATCAGATATGAGTCACTCTTAGTTGAATCCTTTTCTATTGCAATTCTGAATATACAATGGTAGTCACAAAACATGCAAAATCTATTACATTTTGTCATCCACTACACTGATACCAAAATCAGGTGATCTTTCTTGGGTGGCATCAAGGCAGCAACTCTAAAGTTTTTAGCTACCTGTTCTCAATGTTGATTTTAATTTACCAATTTAGTATAAGGTTGATGTAACAAAACAAGAGGTGCCCACACTGGAAGTCAAAAAATGATAGATGCAAATGCTTGATTGACACCTGCTCTATTTTTACTTAAAAAGTGGGCAGGGGCTCAATCATATGTTCATAATTGCCAGCTGGATATTTTATCCACTACTACCTGTTCCACGGTGCACCCAATAAAACAATAGAGTGGTGGGACAGTGAAAAAGTGTAATAGACTGAAATAGTTTAATACTGAAATGATGGGACCAGCTGTTCATTCACCATTATTTCCCAAATAAAATATAATGATCTCTGGAAGTCAGCATTTGTTGTGTCTACTTAAAAAAACCAGAAAAGGCCTACAGATAGAGACATCTGAATTAAAAGTGCAGCTTTCCTCCTACTAGCTATTTATAATGATGAAATTAATTCTTGGCCCTTCAAATGTTATTTTCCACTATTAAAAGAGATGTTAAATTTAGTGCCTCCAAGCACTAAATGTTCTGTGGGTAAATGAATACATCATTTTGGCAACATAACTCACTTGGAATCTAAAAGGATGAAGTGGTGCATTATGTTCCTATATCTTTATAGATAATTCTAGGCTATATGGAAGTCTGTAAACTTCTTAAGCCTTAGCTTTTTATTCAACAAGTCCCTGTTTTGGACTGCAAGAGGCAGTTCCTAACCAACCTTGGTTGGATTGGAAAATCAAAGTACAATTGGACTAATTTAATACTTAGATGAAAAAGCATCAGACAATCTTCGGGCTTAAGTCAGCTGGGAATTCTTAAAAACATCCCTTAAATAGGCTTCATGATCCTGCTAAGACAAGAAAAGAACATTCTTCAGTCACCTAAATTCAGCAGCTTGACTTGAGATTCCCCATTTATTTTAATAATATTTACTGTTTTTATTCATTAGTAGACTTTTGCTAATGCATATTTCTAAATGGGTCCTGGCACTGATAATGTTACTTGGTTTGGGTAATGAAATATCTGCAAGAAATCAAACTCAGAGAGCACCAAGGACTCCTCATTTCAACTCTGATGTTCTCTTTTATTGGGGATCCAAGCTTGTCCCCAAAGTGCTATTTCTTTCTCTTTCCTGTTCTGTTTTGTTACCTGCTGTAGCAAGGCTTTGAAAGAAAGAGAGCGCAACCGCATTGTGAGAGCTTCTCCAGACTTCCCAAAGGTGAATCCCTGCAAAAGATAAAGACAAAACTTTTATTTTTTTATTTTTTAGAAAAGGGCTATTCTCATCTGAAGAGGAGAATATCCATCAAATAAGTGAGTGGCAGTTTCAAGTATTTATTAATGCAGAACTTAACAAATTCAAGAAATAAAGACAGAATGATATCAAAGATTAAGGAGGGAAAAATTACTAATTAAAGTAACGATTGCATGTTATGGCACAGTGGTTAGAATGTAGTATTGTAGGCTAACTCTGCCCACTGCCAGGAGTTCGACCCTGAATGTGTCAAGGTTGACTCAGCCTTCCATCCTTCTGAGGTCGGTAAAATGAGGACCCAAATTGTTGGGGGCAATATGCTGACTCTGTAAACCATGTAGAAAGGACTGTAAAGCACTGTAAAGCAGTATATAAGTGTAAGTGTCTATTGCTATTCTGGGGAACTGCCTGATGAAATTTGAATAAAAAGGTAAACAAAGAAGCACATTGAATGTTGAAAAGGCCTGGATGTATAGTTTAAGATAGCCAAAGTAACAAGGATGATATTCATGTGACTTATGGGATTGCAATGATTTATTGGATTCCATCTAATAAACAAAGCATAGTGTCAAAAGTCCATCTTTTTAAAATTGAAAGCCTTTTCATATTGCACGGGTTGAGTTACTTAGTACTGTATACAATCATCTCTTTCTTATAGGGTGCTCCTTTGTGATAATTTCTTATTAAGTAGATCTTATACTAGAACCTACCTGGATTGTATAAGTTATCAAGCTGATCACTCCCAACACCAGAAACATGAGAGAATACAGCACTGTATTCTGGCTTTTCTTTACATCATCTTGTTCTTGGAAAGCCTGAGTGGCAAAGCATACTTTTAATCACCAGCACAAGAAACAGTTGCAGTTCAATTTATGACCATTTCCTGAAAGCCAATTTTCCTGATTTCTCTGTATGTTACCATCAAATGTTACCATGTTATTCTGAACAGCAGACTATATTTTACATGAAGAATTTGAAACCAATTCTAATTCAGTGACCACTAATCTAATTCAGATTGTAGGAAATGACAGTTAGATGGCAGCAGTGTGAAAAAGTTGATCTCTTTACTGCCATCTGGTGATTGCATGGAGTTTTGCAAGCCACGTTTGGTAGCACCCCCCGAGAACAGAATTTGTAGCTGAATCTTATGACTTTCTAAAAAATAGAAATCTGGCTCATATTCATTCCTTGTCAAAAATAATTAAATTCAAAGGTGAACATTAATCAGGGCCAAATAGAAGCTTGTAAAAGAGTACTATATGAATAAAAAGTTAAAAATAATATTATTTATTTGAAATATCTGTAGGGTACAGTTTCCTGCAGGTGTTCGTGATATGGATGGAACCAACATACCAAATAATTGTAGGACAAGAACCTCGTTAGTGTGGCAGGAGAAATTCAGGAGTGTGTTAAGCCCTTTTCCAGCTAACAATATAGAAGCATAAGCTTCTGTGAACTGCAGTCTACTGCATCCGTCGGTGAATAAAATAGTTCAATGAATTCTATTTTTAATTTATATCTCCTTTCCCATGAAAAATAATGTTCAGTATGGGAAATTAAATACCGATATATAATTTGTTGGATGAAGCAAATTAACGTTTTTGTGGAGAAAGCACTCCATCATTGGGGAGATCCTGATGAGAAGGTCAGAAATCTCCACAAGATATGCTGAAAAATAGTCAAGATGGCAGCTGAGGAGTGTAATTAACACCTATTTTTATATGTGGATTTTTAATTGTACTGTCTAGGTTGCCATCTTGACTTTTTTTCACCGTCTCCTGCAAATACCCTAATCTTTTCCATAGACACAAATCAACTAAAGTTTCAAGTAAGTGGCTCTTGACCAAAGGACTGTTCTAGACTTCAGTTTCATGTTGAAGAAAAAGAAGATTATTTTACTGAGTATTTAGATTTTAAAGTTTAATATCTTTAATATCTTTAAACATACTTGGAACTGTCTGGAATTGTGAAATATTATTAAAACTAATCAAGTATCATCAATAGAATAGAACAGAATAGAATTCTTTATTGGCCAAGTGAGATTTATTGGACACACAAGGAATTTGTCTTTGGTGCATCAAATTGGCAAACTGTCATTCATTCCTCTTTTAGTATAAGGGCAATTTTTTAAAATTCAAGGCTGCATTTACACAAGAATAATGTACAAGTAATCCTCAAGTTATAACCAGAAATGAATTCTGAAACTTCCAGTACAGTTGTTAAGTGACTTCCACCCAAATTATGATCTTTTTTGTTGTTTTTAAGCAAATCACATAATTGTTTAGTGAATCTGGATTTCTGAATTGATTTTGCTTGTTGGAAATCCCCTGAGAACATTGCAAATGGAAAACATGTAACCTGGGATAGTGTAAATATAGGCCAAATGCCTGTATCACAATCACACGATGTGCAAGGAATGATTGCAAGTCACTTTTTTCAGCACTGTCATAACTTTGAATGGTTGCTAAACAAATAGTTATAAGTCGAGGACCTCCTTGGCAGATGTATTGTACATGGCCAGATTAAAAGGAAGTGGGGATTCCATTCTTCCTCTCTCTTTCTGTATTTTCCCCTTTCTTCTCTCTCTTTCTCTTCCCCCACCTTCCTTGCCAGTGGCTTTTGAAATGCATTATGTATGACATTTTATTGTTCTATTAGCATCCAATTTATACACAAGATAAACTGAATGCTCATATGTTCATATGATGACTATATCAGAACAAAATTCAAAATTCACACCAGAAAAACAGTACAGTAATATATATGTTCTGGGCTACTCTTTCTTGTTTTATACTGTCTTGGAGGATTCTTTGATCACATGGATTAAGATTATTCATTTCATTTGGGAGGAATGATTTAGAAATTACAATGTGTTTTTGGAAAGTTAAAGGTGGAACTGAGATGATGAGAAAATTGAAATGCTTCCAATTAAGTAAGATCATAATAAGAAATCAATACATCTGCTGGGTTTTATAGTTTCTGCAAAAAAAAAAAGGAAATAGAAGCATTGAGTAGTCCTAAACATACCCCAATAATTTTACCAAACAGAACTGCAAAGGCAGGAGTAACACCTCCAGCAATGGCTGCAGCAACAACCCCAACTGCTATGTAACAGAATTCAGGCTTATTCAGAGCCAGGATCCTGGTATAAGGAACATCTGGAAGAGTCTCTTTCTGTAAAGACAGAAAATTCTCCTTATCACCAACAAGATTACAAGCAGCAATTCAACTGATGGGGAAATGTCACGGAGAATTACTGAAACTGTACAGCACTGAAAGGAAACTGACTTCTCTATTCAAGCCCAGTCATTTCTATGATCTCAGACAATGAATACAAGGGTGAAAACAAAAGAAAAAGAACAAAAAACCAATTTATCTCAAAATCTGTCCACAAAGGTCACTAAAAAGTAAGAGAAAGCCTTCATGAATGGCAACATTTCTGCATGAATCATTCTTTTGCATTACTAATGGGTTAGGATCTTGTTGCCTGTACATTAACTTTCGGTTCTCATTATGTTTGTGTCATGTGTTTCAGATGAAGTTTTGATGTGGCAGGTTTAAAATGAAGTATAATCCCAAAGTCCAAAAGTGAAACACATTTCCTAATTGATTTTTTCAAGTTGTTCATATTGTTTGATATGTACATCATCATAATTACTAAACATAGGGCAGGGATGAATGAAGCAGAATGTCATTTTTTCCTAACAATTGGGGTTTCTTTACTCATGAATTTATCTGAAAATAAAATCAAATGCATGGATAAATACAAGACATTTATGGAAAAAACAAAGCTTTTCTTATAACTCTGGTTTATTACTAGAATCACAAGGCGGAGATACCAATTTCCAGTAAACACTAAACCTTTTACACAGAGGCATCATGTTTTTAATATAGAAGTTATTTTAGAAACTATCTTAATACTAACCACACGGACTTTCTTTGCTTTCCTCTTCTGTTTTTTTCTCCTTTTCCTTTCAGAAAATCTTTTAGTAGAAGCCCTACTGAGGGAAGGCCTGTTGGATATTCCTCGTAAACTTCCATACTTGGCCACTTCTGGACCACCATTAGAACTCCCCAAGTCATTTAGATCTGCTATTTCATATAAATCTTGTTTTTCAGAAATTTCACTATTTTCATCCTCAGTCTCAAATTCTGTCTCTTCATTTGATGTTTCACTCTCTGGTTCTTCACTCTGGTAATTCTAAACATTTATAAAAAGAAAACAAATTAGAAAAAAATTATCGATTTTTCTAATGTCAACTTATTAGACTAAAATCTACAGGTAGCCATTGATTTACAACCATTCTTTGAAAAAAGTGACTTATGATTAGTCCTTACACTTACTACTATTACAGCATTTCCATGGTCATGAGATTGTGATTTGGGAATTTGGCAACCAGCATGGATTTACAACGGTTGCAGCTTCTCAGGGTTACATTTTGCCAGTTGGCTTGCAACAGGCAAAGTCAATGGAGGACATTAGATTCACTTAACAATTTTGTGATTTGTTTAATGAATAAGCAAAAATAAAAAATAAAAATTCATGACTGGGAATTCTGGAAGTTAAAGTCCTTAAAGCTGTCAATGTTGAGAGATATTGGGCTATCATAACAGAATCTTGAAAGGTTGACTGCATTTACCTATGTCTGAAGCATTGCTTTGTTTATATTCTAACATATCTGGATCAATAAAGAATCCAGTGGTATTCTTGAGAAAAAGAAATTACTCTTTTACTCTGGAAGTTAATGTTAATACTCTATAATGTGCCAGATACAAGCAACAGAAAGCTGTTAAACATTCAGATTTTAAATTTAAAAAATAGCCATAAATAAACACTCATCAAGGTGCACATCTAGCTTAACAGTAATATTTCTTTGACCTAGTAGAGACAGCCAATACATTTCATTAACTTGCCTGATTATTATTCAGTATTGTGGAACAGTGGGCTTGTAAGTTCCTGAATCCTATTTTGACTAGCTACAACATTTAGCCAAAGCTAAATGTAAACCTGGACAAATAGTAGCTTCTCATTTATTTTTATTTATTTATTTTGATTTGTCAATCAATTACAAGATAATAGGTATAAGTATATACATAGTTATGAATACATGAAATGGGTACATATAAGAAAAATAAAAGAAACAATAGGACAGGGATGGTAGGCACATTGGTGGGCTTATGTACAAGATAGTTTCAAAGCATCATTTATAAAGGTGGAATGTTTTTCCTCTTGTAGTTAATGCTATATTGCAATTTACCCAAATGGACGATTCTAGACCTCTCATAGTTAGGATGTGGAAAAGGGCAGAAATTGCATACCTGAGAATTATCCTCATAAAGCATATAGTATCACATTTGAAGTAAGCCACTGAATCCCATTACCTGCTGCATTACAAGAGCATAGTAAACTCCTTTATGTGCCATGAGTTCACTATGTGTCCCCTGTTCAACCAGAACACCCTTCTCAAAGCCAGCGATAACATCAGCTGTCCTGATTGTAGAAAGTCTGTGAGCAATTACAATGGTGGTGCGCCCAGCCCTGGCCTTCAAAGAAGGATAAAAAAAGAAAAGGAAACGAAAAAGAAAAACTTATCTAAAACATGAATTTTTTCACAATACTGCCCTATATTTTTTCATGTATAGCGATAAGGTCTATTAAAATTTTAGTTCATAACCTAAATGTATATTTGTCAATTGGTTTAACCAGATATTCTAGTGCTTATTTATATCTCATATTTTATGTCAATATAGTATATCTGCAATCCATAGTTGTTTAAATATGGTTGAACATATCACACAGATTTAAAAATTCACTTATAGCTATAAGTTTCATTACTGCTAGATCATGGTTATTGGATCATGGTTAATAAATCATGGTTATTGCTTCACACTAATTTAAATACAATGTCAGGCAACTGTAAAAAAAAAACATAAGAGTTTTTGGTTTGCCACTTGGCAACTGATGAGAACTGCTTTCAAGCTCTCTAGTTTACAATTCCAAAGAAGCTTTTTTCAAAAGGCAACTGGACTTTCTTTTGTTTTTCCTTGAAAATGTTTTGTTTCTATCCAAGAACCAAAGAAGTTTCTTGGATTAGAAGTGAAACATCTTTAAGGAAAAACCAAGACAGTCTAGTTGTCTTTAGAAAAAAGTATCTTTGGGACAACCATGATTTGGATGAATCTCCATAGACCTTTAGTTATGCACTCTAGTTACAGTGGTTGAAAAAAAGAAATCTGTTGTCTTTCCAGGACCTTGTCTAGTATATATCATATTGTTCCTGACCCCAGCACTGGGACAAGGAAAATATGATAGATAAGCACTTTCTGTTTTATGAAAACGATTGCAACTTTTTGTTGAAGTTATGATTTTGTTGTATTCTCAAATTAAATACTTGTTGTCCAGTTATTAATGTAAGCTATATAAATAAAAACACTATTTTTTTATTGAAAACCACTTAGGAACATTCAAAATATCTATCAAATAAATAAAGAAGCCACTTTCCAAATTTTCAGGCTTCCCTGAATTTATCATCTTAGATTTTTGGTCTTCTGTCTAGATTGGCTTTTGATCTGTTCACATTCCACGAATGACAAAAATACTTATTATCATTCATTTTTATATTTTATATCATTCTATAGTTTGAGCTGATTAAAATAATGGAAATATTATCTACCTCATGCATTTTTTACTTTCTTTTGGTCGATTGGAAATAATGGGAGACATCATCATCTAGAACTGATTAAACAAAGGTCTGGTTTGGTAAATTTGATAGATTAATCATGTGATAATTTTGGGTAGGGTAGTTTGAGTTTCTCTTTGCAGTGAGTCCTTTTATAAAATGGAAACAATCTCCCAATTCATAAAAGAAAGCAAGAACTGGAACACTAATTTCTGACTCTTTTCTCTGGAAAGTTCATTGGTATTAATAGAATAACCAAGATGAATGGTTAATGAATCACCTTGTAAAAATGACTAATACTGAAACTTATGTTACAGGAAAACACAGACACACAGATACAAGCAATAATAAAAGCACACCCATCTGTGCACTATCCATAAATGCTACTTTTAATCATTCAGTTTTGAGCCAGATACTTGTAAAATGGTTGGAAGGTCTTAAATGAAATGATAAGCTTTTGATTTTATGAGGTTTAAAATGTCATTAGTAGCTTTAAGATATTAGTGTGATAGGCTTTTTTAAAAGAACAAACTGTCTAATATAGGCAGGATATAGTTTTTATTTGTACATAATCTTTAAACCCATAATATTTAAATACAAACAATGTTGAGTCTAGTAAAAAGTTGTAATAAGTGCTATGCCTATCTTTCATTTTGAAACACTGAAATATTGATATATTTAGCATTTTTACTATTAGGTGATTTTTATTTTATTGTTACAATAGTCATAGCATTTCAGAGTACATGACTGTGGTTATCATAGAAGCAAACTGGCAAAACTGTTTCAAAAACACTAACTATATCCCTCTTTGGGCTTTTGTTAAACAAATCTTCTTCAGCTTTTCCCCATCCTGCACACTTTGCTAGATCCTCATCATGAATTACATATTTTACTAAATAATACATATTTGAGTAAATTTTTCTTTTTTGAAAATAATTTTGATCACCTGTGGATGCATTTACTTGCATTTATTCACCAACAGACTTTTAATTCCTTAAAGTCATTCTTTATGTATAGTTGAAATACTACAGAATCATATTTAACTAGGCATCTTTACCTTATCAAGTGCTGCTTGGACTATGGATTCACTCTGATTATCTAAAGCAGAGGTGGCCTCATCCAGCAGCAAGATCTTGGGGTTTCTGGCCAGGGCACGAGCAATAGCAATACGCTGTTTCTGACCCCCACTGAGCTGGGCTCCTCTTTCTCCAACCCTGGTATTAAATTTCTGGGATATTCAAAATATAGAAATGAATACTGTGTATGCTCATATGTGTTTCTAAGTGAGAAAAGATTATTAGTATGCAAGCAAGTATATTGAATATATTAGCCAAGCACACAATATGTGCCTGCAGGTGCTCATGGACACGCACACAGTTTTAAAGAAAACAGAGCACTTTCTATCTGCAGACACTCTTTCTCATTGAATATGGCTTTGTTGCTCTCTTGATATTTTGATCAGATGAACTGTGCCAATAGTTTCTCTCTCAAAATCTCAGGAATAGTTTAATTAAACAATGACATGAAAGATTCTTAAAGAAAAAAGGAAGTTCCATGTTGGCATGCTCTGAGTAACATTCATTCATTTGTATGAATGCGGCATAAATACAACACTTCATTGCTCTACTTATGAGCTACTGCTTTGGTTCTTAATGTTTCCAGTGTGATTAAAATTTCCATTGCTCAAAAGAGAGTGTCTCTACTCAAAGTAAGTAAATGAGTGTACATTGATGCACAAACCCATTAAACAAAGCCAGTCATTAAATATAATTAACCATTGACTGTAAAAGCTGCATACTTGAGACAGCTAGTTTACTCTCCATTACAACAACATATCATACTGTAATGACTGAATATTCAGAAGACATAGTAGCTAATAATCTCATTCAAGAAAAGTTTTAGAAACACCCATGTAACCTGAATGAGTATGCCTTTGATTTCCTTACAAATCCTTAAAAATCTAACAGTGAAAGCTTTATGATCTGAGAGTTATTTTAGCAAGAAAAACAAAGAAAATTATATAATAACCCTAAAAAATTGACCTAATTCCAAAATATCAAGGCTTAAAAAAGAAGTGAACTTGAGGAAAGATAGGATGAGATTCCTGTTTCTGGGACCTCTGTATATTTACTAGTCTTACTGCCATCAAAAATTTTTTTACATTTCTTCATGTGGTTTAAAACTACACCTTGCACCTTCTCAGGTCTCCATATTATTTCCAAAGGCAAAATATTTAATATAATAGATCTCTGGGAGATTTTCAGAAAAATGAGTAAAGATTTCAGACATAATTGACTAAACACTATAGAAAAATTGATTGCCCATACTATCCACTCTAATTTTGACAATTAAGTGAAATTTTTTTGATGTTACCAGAATTTCTATATAAGGGTCATGACTGTCATTTTGCCGTAGAACACAAAACAAAGCTCAGAATTATTTAATCAGATTTTTTTTTTTTTTTTGCACTTGGATCTATTTGGGGAATCATAAGGCCTTGTTACAGAACAAAGTAGATTTCAGAAACAGGAACTTTCTAATACCTGACAAGTATGGCATTAAATATTGTTCATAATCTTAATGAAATATATTGAAATACTCAAAGGGATGTACAACTTACACAAATATGAATGCAGTATAATGTTGTAAACATTAACCAATTCTGATTTACAACATCAGTTATTGCTTCAGGGTTCCAGAAGGATATACAACTGATGATTTACAGAATACATGGATCATTCTCCTCCTTCTCCTTTCCCTCCCCCTTTCCCTCCTTCTCTCTCCCTCCTCCCCTCCTCCTTCTCCTTATTTAAAACAAAGTTATACAAAGCAATACTTTTAAAAGTCAGCAGGATTTCCTGCTAGGAATAATGTACCTAATTTAAAGAAAAACATAACCTCAAATCCACAGAAAAAGGAAAAATTTAATAACAGAATGTTAACACAATTGAAGAGCTATAATTATATTCTCATTTTAGTTAAGGAATTAATTTGCCTTTTTCATTATTGCCAGGATTCACTTCATACATCCATAAAAATAAAAGTGTGATGACCTAAGAAATTTCAACAGCTATGGCAAGTTAATATGCCTTTTTGATTTATGAAGTTCAATATTAACTTCAATATTAATTAGAAAATAGAACTTTAATTTCTGAATATATTTATTTGATTCTTTTAAATTCATCTTTGCCTCTTGCCATGTACTTGTTAAGTAAAATTTACTTTAGGAACTTATACAATTATGAATTTAATGCAACCACCTTAAAAAAATGGTTGTGTCTTAATTGTAGAATCTTGCATACTTTATTAAGGGGGAAAAAATAGAAACAATAAAGTTATAGAGGTTGTGGGTTATTCATCTCAGAATAGGTGTAAATGCCCCCAAAATTTAGTGTTGCTTTTTTCTTTTATGTTTTAAATTGAAACAAAGGTCATAACAACTCAGGACTTCCTAATATTTGGTTAAAGTACTATTGATCATCTACAGCTCAGAATATTTTAGTATCCATGTTTTATTATATTTCTATATTTTATTAATTTTATTGTAATTTCTTCATTTGATTGTTATGAGTAATTGAGAATTGGATGCTATACAAGTTTAATAAATTATTTAAATTATTAGAACAGACATAGCGCTTCGGACTCTATGAGTTTATACTTTTTTCCCTCGAGCATATAAAACTTCATATGTGAAGTTTTATGTATAATAATGTATGTCATGAAAATTCATTTAAGTGGGTTTGATAATATTATAGAGCATGCTTGAAAGAAAACATGAAGTGTGGGAGTAAGTGGAAAGTGTGCTTTATTGTTCACTGATAGAAATGCATTCCACCAGTTTGTCTTGCTAGCAATAGAAAAAGATCAGAGGAACAACTCAGTGTGTGAGTGTGTAGACATGCATCCCTTGTGAAAGCAGACTAAACAGCAATTGAAACTTTCTCCCTTTTGTATGTTTTGTTGTGGATACAAAGGGTAATCCCAACATTCTGCATTTGTAAGATTTTTGCAGAGATCTCTGTTTTTTTTAAAAAAAAATCACTGCAGGCATTCCTACAGCGAGCAATACTGAGAATTATTAGTTTAACAATGTCTGGTTGGCTATAGATGTTAGATACAAATGAATCAGCTACATAACAAAGTGTCAACTGTTAAGGTTCGTTGGATGACACTGGCTTCAATAAAGTGCTCTATGATAAAGTACATTGTGATTAAACTGTGGGGTAGATCTGAAAAGCACATAAATGGGGGAGGGCAAACAGATTACTCCATCCTTACTAGAGGACCATCGTTACAAGAATGTGAACATTGTGCTACTTACTTCAGGAAGTTTCATTATGAAGTCATATGCATTTGCTTCTTTGGCTGCTTGTTCAATTTCAGCATCAGTAATATCCTCTCTACCATAACGAATATTGCCTGCAATTGTGGTAGCGAACAAAACTGGTTCTTGGCTTACAATGCCAATGTTTTCCCTCATCCACTTGATGTTAAGAGTTCGAACATCATGTCCATCTATAGTGATCTGAAGAAAGGAAAATAGAAGTTTGTAACAGCCACCAGTGTAGATCTTTGATTACTAGAGTAATCAAGTAGATACTGATGACTAATATACAGTTTTTAGATATTGATTACTAATATACAATTTTTAGAAAACGTATATTAGAAGTTTTGTTGTTGGTGTTGTTAGCCCTGATTTAGGGCTTTTTTTAAATTAAAAAGTCAAACTCAGAAGTCCCAATAATAAGATATCACAGTTGCCCCTGCATTAAAACGAACCTGTCCTTGTGGTGGATCATAAAATCTTTGCAAGAGTTGAATAGTAGTGCTTTTCCCACAACCACTGGAACCAACAAGAGCAATGGTCTGTCCAGGTTTTATTTTTAAATTCAAACCTCTAAGAATCTGGAATTATTCAAAATATAAATATATATTTAAAATATATTTTAGTCATTTCTCTGGCTTAATACAGTACAGAACATGCCTGAAATACAGGAAAAATATTCTTGAAGATTATCTAATATATTTTAGTCAATAAAAACATTCTAAAAATGAAGGGCTCATTTACGATATCTAAGAAAGATCCTTTATCTTCTATAATTACACTTTTTATTACTGCTAGAGTGCTTTTATTTTGCAATGAAGCTTGTAATTGCACATTCTTAAGACCTTTCCCTGATCATACAGAAAATAGCTTTAACATTTCTTTTACATGCATAAAAAGAAAAAGAAAAATTTCTGTCTTACCTGAATATTTGGTCTAGAGGGGTAACTGAAATAGATATTTTTAAATTCAATTTCTCCTCTGAGTTTATCCAGCTTGAATCCCTCAATGGAACTGCTATCTATGGGACGAGGCTGGAAAAATAATTGGAAATAAATCTATAATTTTTATAAATACAATATAATGCAAGCAATTTTTGTCCAATGCTAAATAAGTATGAGATGTAAGGTATGGGAAACGATGCATTATTTCTTCTTACAGGATTGCATTTCTGAGAAATATAGCTGCCTTTTCAAATAATGAATAGATTGCCTATAAATTTCAAAGCAAGCGCTTTGAATTAATATCAGTTAAGGCTAATTATACATAACTATATTAGGAATGTCATTTGTGGATCCTGTTATACTCATATAATTGTCATGTGCAAGCAACTAGAATCATTTGTGAATAGGGCCAAGTAGATATTTTATTGCTGAACACCTATTTACAAGAATCGTGCAAGATTGTCTGCCTTTTCTTGGGAAATGGCAGATATAGACCTAAGAGTTTTACCTCAGAGATTTCCTCTCCCTAACCAACTCTTTATTTCCCCTTCTCCTCTCTTTTTGCAGGTAATTCCACTATATCAAAAACCAACAAATTAAGTGTTCTGAAACTTAACCAATTGAAACAAAGATGGGAAACAATTTGTTCTAACCTTCAGTTCATATACTTTCATTCATAACTACCAAATAAAAAATTTACTGTTTTGAAGTTAGAACAGTAAATAAAAGAAATCAAACAGAATATTGCTGAATAAGAAAAAACACTTGAAGTTTAGTTCATCCTCTGTTTGCAATGCTGAAATAGTTCACAAGCTACATTCTCATTTTATTCATGTGAATGTGCTAAGGCAATGAGGCTCTTGATTTAACCTCTGAAATCCCATCATTCTAGTACCACTATTGCCAAAGGTTTTTCTTTCTAAAGCAGGATAATCCCACATTATTTATTTCAATGTTTTTCAAATTTAACACCGTTAAGATATGTGGGCTTCAGCTCCCAGAATTCCCCAGTCTTAAAGTTTTCAAGTTGGAACAATTCAAACTTAGATTCATTTATTATTAGATTCTAAATCTACTAACAAGGAACTGATATGTTATCCATTTGAGTCTGGCGAACTTGTGTTGTTCCTCTGTTCCTTCAGGTGATATGCCATAGGTTTATTTCATTTATCTAAGAAAATGCAAAGAAATACAGAAATGAAGTGCTCAAATATCCATAAGGATATTTATATATCGTAGCACATAAATACCTTTTTGATAATTTTAAAGACTTGGTAAGCTGCTCCACGAGCATTGGCCACGTTCTCCAAATTGGGAGAAGCCTGTCCAAGGGAAAATGCCCCAATAAGTACAGAAAAAAAAACCTGTCAAGTAAAAGAGAGAAAATAGTTAATGTAAGTGTTCAATTCTGTGGATTCAGTTAATAAGTCAGCAGAGTAATAACAGCCAATATCAGGGTACAGGGTGCCCAGAGTTTTAGTGCAGCAACCCTGGAGGTGCACGGTCTTTATATCCAGAATATTATTATAGTTCTCATAGCTTGATTTAAACACAGTTTTGAAATTATAACTATTCATAATATGAACGTTTCTTATAATCAGGCAGCACTGATGTTTTATTTATCTGTTTTGATGAACATTACCTTAATTCAAAGGTAATTTTCCCACCAAGAATAATTTAAGATTAGTAATATGATTTCTAGCACAGATAATCTTGCTGCAAGTAAATCATCATGTTTATATATCTACAATGAATTCATTTAACTATTGGCATCTCCCCTATCTGAAGTTTATTATTGCTAGTATTTAATCTGGAAAAGAAAAGCAATCGAATACTGAGGACAACAATCTGTGGGCCAGCCAGTGCAAAATTAGATAGTAATCAAAAATATATTATACTATATCTCTCTTTGTGTATATGTCTGTAAAAAGCCATGTGTGCATCACATGCATGACACAAGTTCAAAAATGTGGAGTTTGGTTGCACAGTCTTCACTTTTCTGATTTCTTCAGATGCTTCTGACAGCACTTTTTGTGTCAACTGGTGGGATCCTGAATGTCCCAAATCCTTAATGACATCTCTATGTAAATTTTCATAAGCTTGTTTACTATAGTCAACAGAATAGAAGTGAAATAATGGTCTCTTTAATTAGCAGCTATGCAAAGCTTGAATGGTTTAAATCTCTCCACTGACAGAAATCATTCATTTGGCAACCTAACATTAATTGGTACTTGAGTATAGGATTATCTATATACCTGTATGTTTGTACATAGACTTTATCTACATTTGACTACTTTTAATGCCAACAGAATGAATTCAGATATACTTTCAGACCTTCACTAAGACAAAGATATCATTTTCTACAATAGCTTAAACTCAATTTATGGACTACAAGTTAAAGAACCTTTTTCCAACAGTGATCACAGCATGATTGATTTTTGTCTCAACTTGTGTCCTTGCAAAGAGAATCATAATGATGGGACTCTACATTATAACTATAAAAAAGCAAACTATGATCTCATAGTTGCAAATTGATTGGCACCTCCCGTTCACAGGTTGTAATACTGCAGAAGACCATTATAACACTTTTTTGCTCAATAGAGTCATTAATCTATACGTACCAAAAATAACTCCTAAAGCTAAAAATAAAACAAATTATCCATATCAATAAGAAAGCTATAATCCAAGAAAAAAATCTCCTTGGTGACAAAAAAAATGGCTATGTAGCTAACCTTAAAAACCCCTACAAAACCTTATGCTGCCAGATAAAGGCTGAATGTACCAATCACCATTGCAAACAGGAGGAAGAGCTGTTAAACTCAAACTCTTCCCAAGCCTTGTATAATTTCATTCAAGACTCAAAATCTATCCCACTCCTAAAAAGGGCCTAATGAATCTGTAACAATGAATCTGTAAAGGCCAACCTCTTTAATAAGTTCTTCAGTTCAGTCTTTGTTGACAGCAATGGCTGATGCTCCCCATTTCCTAGTCACACCACAACAAATTGTAATGACTTACTACATATTGATTTTGCAGCAGTTAATGCTGAAACAGCACTATGTAACCTAAAGCCATCTATTGGCCCTGATGGATTATGTGCCTTTTTTTTTTTTGAAAAGGATTGCCACTGCCCTAGCAAACCTGTAAATACAATCTATGAGGTATCTTTCATTAGCCATAGTCATACCTATTTTTAAAAAGGGAGACACTAGTCTAATAGAAAATTACAGACTAATCTCACTGCGTTACATCACCTATAAAGTCATGGAATCAATTATAAAACAATCCATCACCCTACATTTATAAACAAACAACCTACTTTCTAACAGGCAGTTTGTTTTCAGGAAAAATTTGTCCTGTAATCTGCAACTTGTACACTGCAGGAACATATGGACCACATATCTAGACAAGGGTAAAGCAACAGATGCAATTTACATAGACTTCTGCAAAGTCTTTGATTCAGTGCTGCATAACAAATTACTCCTGAAACTTACTTCTTAAGGCATCTCTGATACCTGAACAAGTGGATAACCACGTTCCTGTCAAACAGGCAACAAATTGTCAAAATAGGGAAGGCCCTATTAAATCCAGCACCAGTTAATGGTGGTGTCCCACAAGGCAGTGTCTTAGGACCCACACTCTTTCTACTTTACATCAATGATCTATGTGACAATATTAAAAGCAGCTGCATCCTCTTCACCAATGACATAAAATTATTTAACACCACCAACAATGCTGCTGCCCTACAAAACAACCATGACTATGTGTCAGAATGGTCACACAATTGGCAACTCCAAATTTCAACTAACAAATGCTCTGTCCTACACATTGGCAAAAAAAATCAGAACACCAAATAAAAGTTAGGTGGAAGCGATCTCACAGATGACCCTCACTCTGTCTAGGAGTACTTACCTTAAACAATCTAAGCCCCCGAGCTCACTGTAACAGCATCCCTAAAAAGGCTTGAAGAGTTGTTAACCTTATTTTCCAAAGCTTCTTCTCCAGCAATATTGAACTGTTTAACTAGGGTGTACAAAACCTTTGCCAGACTAATTTTCAAATACAGCTCATCCGCCTAGAACCCACATTGTATATTGGACATTAACACAATTGAATGGGTTCAGAGGTAATTCATCAGAAAAGTATTTCACTCCTCCACTCACAATAGAATTCCCTATGCTTCTAGGCTCAAAATTTTGGGCCTGGACAATCTAGAACTGTTTGATCTAAGCATAGTACACAAAATTGTCTGTTACAATGTCTTACCTGTCAATGACTCCATCAACCTCAATCACAATAATACATGGGCAAACAACCAATACAAACTCAAGGTAAACCGCTCCAAACTCGATGGCAGAAAATATAACTTCAGCAATAAAGTAGTTAATGCCTGGAACGCCCTACCTGACTCCGTTGTTACAACCTAAACCCTTCACAGCTTCAACCTCAAACTGTCTACAGTGGACCTTACCCCATTCCTAAGAGGTCCTTAATGGGGGCGTGCATAAGCACACCAGTGTGCCTACCATCCCTATCTTACTGTTCCATTTATCTGTATTTACTCCCTTTGTCCTTGTTTATGGTCATACTTTTGCTTGTTATCTTGTGTATGTTTGACAAACAAATAAAAATAAAAATAAATAGGGATGTTCTTTGTCTTAGAAAATATTTTGCCTCCCTGCCTTACGCATTTTAGCTATACCCAGAGTCCCAAGACAGATGTCTATCTGATTTTATTAAAATTATTTGACAATGATTTTCTTTTTCTTGAGCGACAAGTCCAAGAACCTTTTGATTTATTAGATGTTAGATTTATTAGATTTTATCTATTAGATTTATAATAGTTATTTTAAACATTAATATTCAATAGAAAATGTACACTTACAATTAATACTGTTCCAATATCATAATTATCCTTTTCATCGACTGTGAGTTTGGTTCCATACCAGAAGGCAAGAGCATAGCATCCATAGATCAAAAACTGGGATACACCAGTTGAAATATTGGTGGTGATAGTCTTTTTTGTTCCAATAGACTGAGCCTCTTCTAGGTTTTTATCATACCTGATAACAGATCCAGCATGTTAGACTTAGGACAGTTTTAGAATAAGTTTTTCCTATAAGCAAACACTTGTACCTTTTAATCTTTTTTTTTTAAAGTTTTACTTCCTGGGGCTGTTGAAATCTCACTGATGTTTCCTTGGATCTCTCTTTTTACAAGACATTTCCCTGAGAAAAGTAGGGTTATTTTATCTAGTGATGTTCCATTTAAAACATTGATGTAACACATTGGTTGAAATTTGCTACAAATTACAGGAACAACCCAGAGCACATTATGAACTTTAATGTCAACGTGAATACATTTAATCTCCAAAATTTTCTTGCAAATGGTAATTTAAACACTAGGAGATTGTTTTATGTATAACTGGACAAACAAGGGGGGAACACATATTATAATCCAAGTTGCCATCCTGATCCTGAGAACTATTGGCTACATTAATCTAAGTAGGTGAAGTATATTTGTATATTATATTGGAGCATTGCTTTTGTTCTTGATCTTTTTTGCTTCTCTCTGGCTTTTGGAAAGAGGGAAGGAAAAAAATTCTAATCTATACAATTTCTCATGACATACATAATTTCATGTCCAAAGAATAATTATTTGTAGAAGGATCAAGCAGCTTGGTGGCTGGAAATCTAGGGTTTAGAAAAGGCTTAATGTGAGCATACCTGGTTTCGATCCGATGATCCTGTTCTAGCTCATAAAGATCTGGGGAAGATTTCAGAAGCACTACTATTTAACACAGCTAATATTAACATAAAATCAGATTAACACACCTAATATTAACATAAAATCAGATAAACTGATGGCATAAGATACTGTCCCATGAATATGTAAATGCCATCTTACCTTGCTATAGCTTTCTTCTGCCCATTGAAAGCAATAACTGTCCTGATAGCTGACAAAATTTCTTCTGCTACAGACCCTGCCTTGGCATAAGCCAGCAGCTCCTTTGTAGTCAATACTGATAGTATCTGGTTCAAGAAAAATAATTGAACTCAGAAAAACAGAAAATGTTTACATGTTTTACTTTTGAAGGTAAATACACACACACACACACACACACACACACACACACACACACACAAAAGCAACATACCGTGCTTCCTGGGGAGGAAAATAAGGGGAGGAAATTCTGCCTCTGCCTACCAGCATCTATCAGTATTCATCTGACTAGCGTCCGGTCAGTGTGTGAGAGAGTTGAGGGCTGTTTGGAAACTGAAACAGTATTTGCTGTGTAGCAAGAAGGAGACAGCAAGGATCCTGGGCATGGCTTAGTCAACTACAGTTGGAACAGATTTCTTTTCAGTTGGGGAGGGGGAGTAGAACTCCTTAGCATCAGAGCGTGTTAATAATATAGGAAATACTAATGCTCTGATAGTCATTTTGAAAAATCATATAATCATATAGATATATAGATATATATGTATATGTATATATATATAATATAATAATAAAATATAATATAATATAATATAATATAATATAATATAATATAATATAATATAATATAATATAATATAATATAATCACCCATCTCATAAAGCAAGGATCTTCAAACTTGGCAAGTTTAAGACTTATGGACTTCAACTCCCAGAATTCCTGAACTAACATAACTAGAGAAGAAATTCTGGGAGTTGAAGTCCACAAATCTCAAAGCTGTCAAGTTTGAAGACCTGTCATAAAGGCTAAAGCTGATTTTGGCTAATTTTTTGTTTTAAGTTGTAGCATTGTACAAAGAAATTATCACTGATCCAGAACTCAATGCTTTGAGTAACTATGGGAGGAAGATGATTGACCAATGGAATATATCTACTTTGAGGGCTGAACCAGCTGCCACTATGTTTCTATGTGCAATTTAGAATACTGTTATCATCTTTAAAGCCTTTCTTTGTTTAAATCTGGATATCTATGGGACCACTCAAGTCCTATTATTTAAGACTGGGTTACCCAACCTTGGCAACCTTTAAGATTTGTGGATTTCAACTTATGCTGGCTGAGGAATTCTGGGAGTTGAAGTCCACCTGTCTAAAAGTTGACAAGGTTGGGAAACCCTTTTCTAAGATCGGAAAGAGAATGCTCCCTTCATGCCCTTATTTTAGGAAATAACATTTACAGGGATCTCAAGGTCCAGCCTTCTTAACCTTGGTTTCCTTCCTGGAAAAGAATTCCAGTCTAATATAATAGACTTAGACTGAGCTTACAGTCTAAGCTCATTAGCTTTTTGTGAAACTGTTAAGACATGACTGTTTATCTTTGAGGTTTGAAACTTTCCCCCGCTTTCCTACAGGTTGACTGTGCCTATGGACTCTGTGTGTTTATCGATAATGGGAAATTGTTCAATAGTTGTGTTTAACTAATCTAAATTCTTGTGTAGGGTGTCATAGTGCCATTATCTCCTCTGAACTATTGCATGACTGCTTTTTTAAATATATATAAGAAAATTGTTGTATCACTGTTAAAGCAAAAAGGTAGATAATTTTAAAGAAGGCTATTTTAGAACCAGGTATGTGTGTGTGTGTTTACAGTAGATTTTCACAGGTACAGGTATGTAGGCCTAGGTGTGTTCGGGTCTTTTCCCATGTAAGATTGAGAGTATCTTGGCGATGTTTCGACGAGGTCCCACTCGCCATCTTCAAGCTGGTGCTTTCGGCCTTGTGCTTGTGCAAAGCATGAAGCCAAACACAATACAGAAGCCTGATGATGGCAGATGAGATTCTGCCGAAACATTGCTACAACTTTAAAACTACAACTATAATGACGTGGGAAAATACTCGAACAAAGCTGAATACCATACATGTAAGTACCCGCGAAAACTTAAGAAAACAAATACCTACCTACCTACCTACCTACATACATACATACATATATATAAAATCTTTTTTTAACAAAAAAAGAAAAATAATATTGTCCCCATGGTCTAAACTAAGAGCCAATAGGCTTAAATCCTATGGAAAATTATTCAAACTAAATAGCAATAGCACTTAGACTTAAATACTGCTTCACAGTGCTTTATAGCTCTCTCTAAGTGGCTTACAGAGTCAGCATATTGTCTCTAACAACTTGGATCCTCATTTTACCAACCTCGGAAAGATCGAAGGCTGAGTCAACCTTGGTTTGGTGGGAGTCAAACTGCTGGCAGTTTGTAGAATTAGCCTACAATACTGCTTTCTAACCACTGTGCCACCATAGCTCACTGAATATTGGAGAGAGGGGAAATTGTGTTGGAAGAAACTATCTGACAGTAAAATAAATTGTTTTGAAGGATTGCAGGCTTTGCTTCACTAGAAATTTTTCAGAATAGGATGATATTGTTCATTTGAAAATTTGCAGTAGTGAATTTCCTACATCAGGAAAGAATTGTGCAGTTCTGTTATGTTAATAAAATATACTCCCAGAAACTTACATATGACCATAAGCCCCCAGAAACAGCAATAAGAGGAGTAACAGACAATATCACCAGGGTCAATTTCCATCCATATGCAAATCCTATTATAATTCCCGTCAGAAATGTTGAAAAATTTTGGATTAAAATAGCAATCTTGTCTCCGATGCCTTTGTGAATTGTGTTAATATCCCTGCAATGTAAACAGAATAAAGGATGAAAAGTTACCGTCAATTACCTTTATTCACATATTCAATAAAATCAGCATACATAATCAAATGTAGCAGCTTACATTTTTATGAGATATCTCAGATGATAGTTGAATATCCAATGTATATAATTAGCAGTTCCAGAAACCTAGTTTGTGTTTTGGAATACAAGTCAAATAAAATGTGTCTTGCTAAATATGCTGGGAATAATTGCAGCAGATTCAATGGTAATGGTTGAAAAATTGTCCAGAATTAAATTTGCACCCCAATACATTATATTTTTATAACAACATTCAGAAATAAATGGAAACATCCCCCAGAGAGAGAGAAGTGGGGAAGGGAGGAGATCCCTCTAACATTTCTTTATATACACAAGCATATGCTCTCGGTTAAAATTAATGGAACTATTCATTAAAGGACATACATACTTTGGAGGGAAGCCGAACATTATAGAACAGAGTGTCAAACTTAATTTCATTGAGGGCTACATCAGGATTGTGTTTGACTTCAGGAATGGGCATGGCCAGCTTGACATCATGTCAGGGGCACCTATGGTAGCCCGAGCATTCTATCACCAAAATGGGCTTCCAAGCTCCATTTTTGGCTGCAATAGCCTCCTGTAACCCTCCCTCAATGAAAATGGAGCTCAGGATGATAGCCTGCAGCCCTCACGAGATCTGTTTTCGGCTGCAATGGCTTCTGCAACCCTCTGCCAGTGAAAATGAAGCTTGAGAGGGCAGCCCATCATTGTTCCCAAGTTGGCCTCTTGGGCCAGATCTAAGTACCTTCTTGAGTTTGACACACCTGTTATAAAATAATGCTAAATATTGAATATTTGACAGATTATAGGGTTCCTAATCCCATTTTGTGGGTCTGATTTCAATAGAGGACAATATTTAGAAGCATTCAATAATTATTGTCCTGCCTTAATTCATGTTAATAATTTTGGGATAAAATGCTGAGCAGAGATCATGGTTTATGCAGTAAAATATAAACTAATAATTATGAAATTCCACTGAGCATTTATGAACTCATACAGTTATTATTACTTCCTAACAGCCATCAGGTAGGATTCTGACTTTTAGAAAATGGCACTACATAAACAGCCTTAGCAATCTGATCAAGAAAGAGACAAACATAGCTTCTTAAGCAGAGTTTTCTCTTTTATCTGACAGCTCTTTCTTGGTGAGGGCCTTCTAGCTCAGGAAATCTCTACTTTGTGAAATTGGGCTTCTATCTTATTGTCCATTGTCATGGAAAATGATTTTTGCTCTATTGAGATTTATTATTCTGTTAATAATTTAATTTTTAAATTGCTATATAGCTTTAATGAATCTGGAATCCAGCTTGGCTTGTGCTGCTGTCTTAAATGGAGAAAATCTTAATCAGTTATCCATTGAAAGCTCTTGTTTCCTAACTGGATTGAACTAAGAGCCTGAAAGGCAAACATATTGTTAGAACTAGCATATTTTCTCAATGTATATTTTCCATTATCTGCCTGCTTATTCACTTTAATTCCTTCCTCTTTGATAAATACAAATACTAAATAGGCTGTCCTCTTTCTCCCCATTCCTCATTCTTTCCAATTATCCATGTCTTCCTTTGCCTGTTCATATATCTGGTAATCCTAGTACTAATATGTATTTTGATATTATGTTATCTATTTTTAATTCTATAAATATTTTTAAATTGTAATTTCAGGACGACAACTTCTATTATAAGCAGTCATCTGAAAATTCTGTTCTAAGGCTGGAAAACATTTAAAAACAAATAAGTAAATATAACTAGTGAATGTGGCCAATTGATGATATAGAAATACAACTAAATCAACCATGGAAATTGGTCCTCTTTTGATCCATGGCAGTGATTGTTTTCCCCAAATTGCATATTAAAAACATTTACTCTGTCAGCCTCGTATTCAATGTTCCAATTGGTGTGGTATCAAACCAGGCCATTTCTTGGTGAAGAACAGCAAAAAAGAATTTGTCACGTATCCTTGATGCCTGTCTTGCAGAAGCAACCACAAAGGTCCAGATTTCAAAAAAACTGCAGAGCAGCACAGCAAAGCCAATTCCAACGAAGTAGTACGCATGGCTGTGGAAGACATGAAGAGTCAATACATTTGTTAAGAATTTATTTCTACCTTTTCAGCCCCCAAAGCCCAAATATAGTTCCCAATTTAAAAACGTAAAGTACATTCTTGTAGACAAAAGAGGAGGAAAATAAATTGATTTCCACACTCATAAAAAGTTAATAGTCATGCAAATAATCAATACAATAAATGATAATGAATATAAAATCAGATGTTTATTATATAACAAAAGAACAATAATAGGTTATAAAGTGTTATAAAATACAAAGTATGAGAGCAAATAAAAGAACAGGGATAAGGAGGGGGAATGGCAGAGAAAAGTGAGGAAGTGTAAGAAAAGAAAAAGAAGCATTGACTTCCAACTCTGTTACAGTAATATAGGGCATTAACAACAATCACAACTTTTTGTTTTACCATAATAGTATAAACCAGTCATTTCTACAAAAATCTATAAGTCTAATCAACAAAAGAACATTAAATTGCTATATAGCACAAGCAATAGCACTTAGACTAATATATAGCTTCACAGTGTTTTGCAGCCCTCTCTAAGCAGTTTACAGAGTCAGCCTATTGTCCCCAACAATCTGGCTCCTCATTTTACCCACCTCGGAAGGATGGAAGGCAGAGTCAACCTTGAGCCTGGTGGGATTTGAACTGCTAAATTGTAGGCAGCTGGCAGTCAGCAGAAATCGCTTGCATTCTAACCACTGTGCCATAAGGCTATATTTATAACAGAATAGTAAATTCAATGTAATTTAATATCAGATAAGTTAACCATAAAATCAATTATAAGTTACAATTTGCCAGTTACAAATAGGAAGAAGAACAAAGCTGTGTAGGTACATACGAGGCCATTTGATTTTCTATATCTGAAGCAGCCTGAGGACATGCTGAATTATTCATTTCTGCACTTCCTATAAGAAATATTATAACAATAGTAGTATCAGAAGATAACTTATAGATATTAAACAGAAATACAGTCCAAATATTTTTACATAGTCTAAAGTCTCCAAGGTGCTTTTTTTTCTTCAAAAAGCAATTTGGTTGGTTTTTTTTTCCTTGAGGAAGAAGAAGAAAATGTTTCACTTCTTATCCAAGAAGCTTCATCAGTTCTGATAAATGGGGAGATGAAAGTATAGGTACTCACAGTTGAGACTGGATGGTGGGGGAATGGAAGGATAGGTTCTCATAGATGGCAAGGGGGGCTGGAAGGATTGTATTTCTTTGCAGTTATGTGGTCATAGCACTCTCACACCTGTTGAGATCATTTAGGAGTATATCTGTACCTTCAGGAATACCTGAATCAGAGTGCAATTGATTATGGAATCTTCTTGGAACCGCTGCAAGGGCTAGTTGTTAAACTGGAGATAGGTGGTATCTTATACCTCCCTTCTGTAGAAGGTGAGGTGTTCAATTCTAACAAAGATGAATTATTTTATCCTTCTTTTAAAGTTCCAACGACCATTTGACTGCAAAGAAATACAATCCTTCCATTCCACTCCCTTCTTGTCAGGAACCTATCTTTCCATTCCCCAGCCATCAGAACTGATGAAGCTTCTTGAGCGAGTAACAAAACGTTTTATTCTTCTTCCTCAAGGGGTTAGGATCCAGTTGCCTTTTGAACAACAAAAAAAGTAACTTTGAGAAAACTATGACCTAGATGACTGAGAATCTCAATAGACATAAAGTCTAAAGTCCGATAATGTCCAAGAAAAGTAACATTCATTAAAGATAAATTGTTACTTTCTAGATCAATCCCCAAATCTAGTTTTTCAAGCAATACCAGATTGCAAATTGGCTGTCATACACAATAACAAAACCCCAGATTTTGGATCATTACATGTGGGGATATATATATATATATATGTTGTGATTGGAAGGACCAATCCTGTTAGGAACTTTGAATCTGATGACTGTTAGATCGTGGATTGACGTCAGAACCAGGAAACGTTAATCTGATGGGCAAGCCAGTTAATTAGCACGTTACTGCAAAGAGCTCTGTCTGTTTGAATTTCAAAGGGGAGTCCTAACAGTTTTGCTTGCAGTTTTGAATGAGGACGTTACTGCAAAGAGCTCTGTCTGTTTGAATTTCAAAGGGGAGTCCTAACAGTTTTGCCTGCAGTTTTGAATGAGGACGTTACTGCAAAGAGCTCTGTCTGTTTGAATTTCGAAGAGGAGTCCTAACAGTTCCTGTCAGCAGTGATAATAAATATTTTGAATGAGGACACATTCGATTTGCAGGACCGGCCTGAACCTTCAACCTCCTCTGCTTCTCAATCAGGTTATCAGCCGGGAACGGCTGACAATGAGGAACTTATGGAGACTTCAGGTGAAGATAATAATTTAGATGATTGCTGGGTGGATGTCAGAAGCAGGCGTCTCCTTATGAGAAGAAACCAATGGGAGCACAGGAGGAGGGTAGATCAGTAATTAGACTAATTAGCTGCTGCTCTATAAAGGGTGAGAGATGACTTTGCACTCTGTCCGGAACAAAGTGTTTGTTTGCAAGGAGAACCGAAGATTTTGGCTTGGAGGATTTAAACCTGAAATATCTTGTTGGGACTTGGATTTATTTCGTTGGAACTATTAACTTGGACTATCTTGTGGAGGCTATCTACAGCTGTTATCAGTGAAGATTCCTGTTTGCTGCCTTTATTTGCGAGGACTGCTGCTTTCAGCCTTATCTGTTTATTTTGGAAGGTGGGACATAACATACCCGAACAAAGCTGAATGCCATACATGTAAGTACCCGCGAAAACTAAGAAAATACACACACACACACACACACACACACACACACACACACCAAGGTTTTTTCTTTGCTTTGGCAAAACCACAAAAGAGATTGCCACTGCTTTCCTTTAAGATGCTTTTTCCAGTCTGGCTCTCAGCTTTCAAATTTAATAATAATAATTTCTTATCTAAACTTGGTCCAACTCTACAGGCTTTTCTGTGATCAGCTAAGGTCAACTAGATATGGCCATCTATCAGAGTGTATATACTATCACTATAATTCCATTAGATATGCCATCTATCAGAATGGATATACTATCACTATAATTCAGTGGCAAAGAGTGGCATTGGGGGACATTCAGTGGCATTGGGGGACATGAAATAATAGATTAGGGATAGATCATCATGGAGAAATATCTATTGATGTGATCCCTAAAAGTAAAAAAAATGATTTTAAGGTACATAATTAATCAAAGACTAATTTCTTAAATTAAATTCTGAATATGTGAGGCAATATTTTTCTTGCTATATTTCAACAATTGTTCATTATGTTCAGAGTCTTAGTTTCCCAGCTTAGTTCTCTCAGTCTATGGATTCACATCCTACACTAAGCATTTAATAAGCTACAATTGGCTGGTTTGATGCTATGTTGTAATTCAATATATTATGGCTTAGTGTGATGTAAAGCTCTTACCTGTAGACACATTTGAACTAGTTACCACAAAGCTGTTTGTCATCTGGCCAAAGATAATGATGATAATTGGTTGTCCAGTTCCTGCTGCAACAGCTGCGATGGATCCCACAATTATTAAAATAATATCTAGAGCGTCTGCAAAGGTAAACTAAATGGATACAGAAAAATGTAAATGAAATTGTGACAGAATGTTCCATATAGCTTATAGACAAGATTGTCTTGTTCATGGCAATCATCTGTATAGTTCTATTACATATTGTATCCAACTTGCATTTTGGAAGCCATATTACAAAAAACTATTGCATGCTTATTTTTCATTCCTAAGCTCATCTGGATTCTTTCTTTCTTTCTTTCTTTCTTTCTTTCTTTCTTTCTTTCTTTCTTCCTTCCTTCCTTCCTTCCTTCCTTCCTTCCTTCCTTCCTTTTTCCATTTTGTCAAGCATGTTTTAGATAACAGATATAATTGGAAACATGATTAAGAATGCATGAAATGGGTACGAATAACAGGGGACATTAGGACAGAGATGGTAGGCATGTTGGTGCTCTTATGCACGCCCCTTACAGGCCTCTTAGGAATGGGGTGAGGTCAACAGTAGACAGTCTAAGGTTAAAGTTTTGGAGTTTGGGGAACAGACCACAGAGTCAGGTTGTACATTCCAGGCATTGACAATTCTGTTGCTGAAGTCGTATTTTCTGCAATTGAGCTTGGAACGGTTTACCTTAGGTTTATATCTATTGTGTGCTTGTGTGTTGTGGTTGAAGCTGAAGTAGTCATTGACAGGTAGGATATTGTAGCAGATAATTTATGTACTACACTTAGGTCAGACTGAAGGCAGCATGTTCTAAGTTGTCTAAGCCCAAAATTTCAAGTCTGGTGGTATAAGGTATTCTGTTATGAGCAGAAGAATGAAGGACTTTTCGCATGAAATATCTCTGGACTCTCTCAGTTGTATTCTGGTCCTGGCCATCTTGTTTCCAGATTTGTCAACCAGTAATTGAATAATTTGTAACAGGTTATGATAGTAAGACAGAAGCATTTACACATTATTTTTACCAGAAGACTTAATGTAGGGCTGTCAACCTCTTGGCCTGTGGGCTGGCCATGCCCATGCATGGTTTAGCGACAAGGGGAAGAATCCCCACACACATCACGTGACACTGCTGTGATGATGTGAGTTTGATACCCTGACTTAATGTCTGTGCTCAACATCAAACATTTACCAACTCTCATTGATAGGCAATTGTTTTCTGAAGGTGCCTAATTTTGATATTCCACATATTTCCATTTCATTTTAAAAAATTATTTAGATTAAAAAGAGGGAAGTAGACAAGTTTCAGAGGAAAATGACTGCATTTAGTATCATTTTTATTTACTTGAACTTCTTCTAAACCCTCACAGGTATTTTTAGAGCTTAATTACTTTGTTTTGAAGTTTCAGCCTGAAATTTTAAGCCAGCTAGAAAAACATTTTTCAGTTAAAAATTAACAAATCATTATACAATGAAGTAACTATTTTCCTCATCTGGGTTAAAATATATATTTTAAACTGATCTGCTGCCCTATTTAAAAAATAAATAAATAAAAGAAAACTCATATCAATAGGATTGCAAACTAACCAGTTCAAAAAATCCAATCATCTGCTTTTCTTTCTTCTTAGAGGTTTCATTGTTCTTTCTAAAAAGGTTTGAACAGGAGATTAAGTCAACTGAAACAATTTCTAGCAAATTAAGTGTGCAAGGGCTTAAATTAAACTTACATTTTCTTATTTTTTAAATGACTCTTTTGTGGAGAAGTTTCATCCAGCTGGAAAGCAGGATTGTCACAGCCATTGCTTGAAATTTCTAATGGGGAAGCAGATTGCATTTAACATCCTACAAATATATTGATCTACCTATACAAAAATAAACCTGCAGAAATGACTGTAAAAGGTCTAGAATTGGCATACTTATGAAGCAACTTATGAAGAAATTAAACATGGATTAAAAGTGGATTGTTATATAGCAATAATTAACAGAGCAAAACTAATTGGCTTTTTTCTATTAAATATATACTTCATAATTATAAAAATGTTCACATGAAACTTTAAAAAGATATTTATATAGAATAGGAAATTGTTCATATACTGTATAAGGCAAAAAGGCAGCATTCTTGACATTTTCATTTAACAATTACTCTACATGAATGCATATTAGAGTTAAACAAAATGCTTTAATCTGAAATTACTTCAACAATGGTTGAATGTTTCTGTTTCCCAAAGTGTAAACTATAGGCCAGAGACTTCATAATATAAAACACAGCTTTTAAAACAGAACTTTAATATGTTGATGGATATGAGATAACATGAGATCTGAGATTATCCTTTATCAAAAGTTTCTTAGGGTGAATTTCAAAGGACTCCTATCCCACAGTAGTACTCTGTTCCAAAAGGTAAAAACATTTTTTTTTCAGATATTGGAAAGATTGTTGTAATTTGTTGAATTTCTAACTCCAAAAGACATGGTAGTTTGCTTGAATAGTGATCAGTTATAATGTAATGATATATTTACTATGCATAGCCTAGAAAGAATATGTGAATATAAATAAATTATTAGAAATATCAGATTTACCAGGTATAGAAACATCATTCACTGTGTAACTTTTGGAATGATCCTTCATTGATTTGTTCTCTGACCCAATTTCAGCCGAACCGATCAGTTTCAAAAAATCTACATCAAAAGAAATTATATTTCAGAAATAATATGCTCATTTAATTTTTTTATTATTTCTCTTAATGTTGACATTTAGTGAAAATATCCTCTCTCAATCCAGATACTCAAAAGGTTTGAAATCAACTTAATTCAACTACTTGTCAAGTTTCCCTGTCATAAAGTATTGATTAAAATGCATACATTCTTCAGCATAATCTCAAGATTTTCCAGAAATTCATCTTACCTCTGTTTATGTCATCTTCATCTTGAGATTAAAAAATTCAGATTTCATATTCCATTGACCTGCATGTAGTCCTATGTACTCCATATTTTTGTCTCAGCAAAGCATCATCTGATTATTTTACTTAAAGTTTGAAAAGATATTTCCTTATCTGTGTAGCATGAACTGGCAATCTAAGGTTCCCAAGCCTCCAAGACCCTGGTACTCCTTTTAACTGTAATTTCTGGAAATTGACAGGGCAATTTCCTGCCAGTTTGAGAATGGAAAGAGTTTAAAAATAGTGTAAACTTCCAGAAATATAAATTTCCATTAAAATAATAACAAAGAAAAACATCAAAACTTTCTCCATTCATCCTCAGTCTTTAAAATGTTGACCATTTGTGATTTACAGTGATCATTCTTTTTTTTTTAAACATAAATTTAGGGATATCACAAGCGACAGTGACTTCAGACTATCAGGTTTGGGAAACATTTAAACATTTGTTTAATAACGTTGTTAATAAACTTATTTAGATAATTTGTTGTGAAAAGAAGAGAGCCTCCTAAGGCTCCTCCTCCTCTCTTCAGACAAGATATTTCTGTGAATATTTTTTCCAATATCTAAGATAGCCAAATCCTTAACCAGTCATATGATTTCCCCTCCTAGCAATAGCAAAACGTTCTCTTACTAAGTGTGTTACATTAGTAGTTACATTATGTTTCTATGGAAGGAAGACATGCCTTGTTGAACACGAATGGTTTGTTAAGGAATTTGCTTCCCCAAAAGCTCTATAATTTAATTGATTTCTGACTTAAATTTTTAAAAATGTTATTCAAGAAATAGGCCAAGTTGTCAGAAGAAAACATCATCTTTGGAGATTCTATTAAATTTCCCCATCTACTTTTCAGGTTAGTCTTCTCTTCCTTTCCATTGCTTTCTCAATGATTAAATGCCAAAGTGCAACTCTAAATGGCAGATGGCCAGACACCCTATTGCACATGGTCTCAGCCAGTATTGTTCCAGCTCAGGGGATCTTGAGAAGGTTGAAAGAATCTTTTGCATAGCTGCAGCCCTGGTTTTTGGTGTTTCTTTTGAGGCAAATGAGAATGAAGCTTCTTTTAAGATACCAGCTTTGCAAACACATTTCTTTCAAGCTATAAGACATAATATATATGAATATATATCTTAGCTTGAATATATTTTTTTCCCTGGAAGTAAAAAATAGAATTCAAGCAGAACCTCCCTCCTCAACCAGCAATATAAATATTATACCAGGCAGATTAAAAATGAGGCCAAATCCTTCTGTCTTCTTCAACAAATCTTAGTAATGACAGATTAGACAACTCCTTCTGAATTAAATCCTTGTTAGTCAATGCCAGAAACTTGAAAGATGATGAGTCACAGAAGAATGAAATTCATTTTGGTTGATAAGTGATATTAATTTCATGACCTGTCTCCTCTTCTATTTTTCTCATCCAAGCTTATTTTATTTGGGAATTTTCTATTACTTGAAATGGCTGAATATGATTTCTCAGTTAACATAATGAAAGATAGCATGTTGAAACAAAAGTATTAATATATATAATGGTTAATAAATTAAAAAAATCAGAGAAATGTCATACGAATTTATAAGGCTGTGCTAGTTCATTCCAAAGACCTGCTTATTTCAATATCTTCTTCCACACAATAGCAATTCAGGTGCCACAGGAAATAGTATGAGTAGAATATGAATATGGTATCATTTTCCCCCATTTATCTTATTGGCTGGACCTGCTAGAAGCTGAGATCCAACAACTTTTAAGGGTTGTTCCTCTTCCTTCCATCTTTCTTTTTCTGCTTTTTTTCATTAACAGTATCACTTAAATTACTAGCATTAGCCAAGTGGCATCATACTCATGGCTTCAATCCACAAACTGTTGGATATAGTCTCTGATTACATCCAGCTCATTCTTGGAAAGATGAGAGTCATAGCTCAAACTTCTGAAAGTCTTATGCCAAGAAGAATGTATTAATGCATCTCAGATAAAACATAACTTCTTGGGGGACAGCTCTTTTAATTGTAGCAAAAAACTGAGAATTCAGGTCTATGAAAAAAACAATACATTTATTGACACATGTGTTCACAAATTCATGAAGTATAAACTACATATTTATGTCACAACATAAAGTAATTTGGCTCATGCATTAGATTAAGAAATATTTTCTCCTAAATTTTGATTTGTTAAATGATCGGCTGGGGTTTTCATAACATGGTGAAAATACATGGATAATCTGCTCTCTATCTATATCCATCTGTTCACCTGTCTGTCTGTTGATCCATTCATCCATCCATATCTGTCTGTCTGTCTGTCTGTCTATCTATCTATCTATCTATCTA